TCTCTCTCTCTCTTTTTTTTTTCTCTCTCTCTCTCTCTCTCCCTCTCTCTCTCTCTCTCTCGCTCTCTGTCTATCAACATGCCACACTGACAAAATACAAACACTTTTTTTATGAAACTCCCTTTAAAACATCTCTGTGCGTTTACACAGATGTTAGCGCTGCAGTGTTTACAGTCACATGGCCCGCTACGCTGCGACCATGCTGCTGCCCCAGCCATCGCCATGGCGATAACAGCAGGCGGGAGCCGCGATTGCGGTGCCACCTGTTGCCAGATTTCGGCAGCAGGAATTCAAAGGAAAACACTAAGAAGGAAGTTTGTTTATAGTGTGGAAACTCTATGGTGGGCAAAATATCAATAGAATCATGAATAATATTACATGGCTGTGCCAAATAGTGATTGATAAATAGTGAGAGTGTAAGAAAAACATAGAGGTAGGGGTAGAGGGATATAGAGGTAGAGAGACAGAAAGAGAGAGAGAGGTGGAGATAATGATTGAGAGATAGACAGAGAGAGAAAAAAAGAAAGAGAGAGAAAGAGAGACAGAGTGAAAAAGAGAGAGAGAGATAGTGTTGGAGAGATAAATAGATAGATACATAGATAGATAGATAGAGAGAGAAAGAGAGAGAGAGAGAGAGAGAGAGAGAGAGAGAGAGAGAGAGAGAGAGAGAAAAAAAAAAGAAAGAGAGAAAGGCAAACTCACTGAGATGAAGTTCGTATGGCCGATCTTCAGAGTGAGTCTCGGCTCGGCAACCACATCCAGCCGCTCACCACTGATCTTGATGTCCAGCCCTCCCCTGTAGGAGACAGCAGAAATCAAAGCCAATTAAACATTGCTTAATTTAATTTACATTGTTTAAAACTTGTTAATTTACATTACCATTTACTGCACGTGTATTGTGAGTTGCATTGCGTAGTACTGCAGCACGAAGATTTCAACGTGTATGCCGTTGTACGCGACTCATATGTCACACATATGTCACGTATATGTCACGTATATGTCACGTATATGTCACGCATATGTCACGTATACGTCACGTATACGTCACGTATACGTCACGTATATGTCACGTATACGTCACGCATATGTCACGTATATGTCACGTATACGTCACGCATGTCACGTATACGTCACGTATACGTCACGTATACGTCACGCATATATCACGCACATGTCACGCATATGTCACGCATATGTCGCGTATACATCACGTATACGTCACGTAGATGTCACGTGTATGTCACGTATATGTCACGTATATGTCACGTATACGTCACGCATATGTCACGCATATGTCACGTATATACGTATATGTCACGCATATGTCACGCATATGTCACGTATACGTCACGTATATGTCACGCATATGTCATGTATAGACATATATGTCACGTATATACATATATGTCACGCATATGTCACGCATATGTCACGTATATGTCACGCATACGTCAGGGCTGTGTGAGGAAGCCGTACGTCCCGTCGCCGTAGAAACGAGATCGCGACACTTGCCGTATGAAGCTCTTCTTCGGCAGGATGTCGGCTATGACCGGGTCGCGCGCGTACGCGAACGCCGCGTCGATCTGCAGCGTCGTCCCGTCGATGCTCACGCTCACCGGTCCCTCGCCGACGCTCGCTGCCAGTAAGTATAGGGGTCATAAGTAGGGGGGTTGTAAGTAGGGGGGTCGTAAGTCGGGAGGTTTGTAACGCGAGCGCTCGGTCGTCCCCCCCCCCTTACTCACCATGACGACGTGTCTCTCCTGCGGCTGTCCTCCGTCGAGATACGGCATGCAGGTGAGCTGGTCCGCGTACACGCTCGTCACGTTGCACGTTCCCTTGTCGCCGAGCGTCACGTTGAAGTCGCGCGCCCAGTCCGTCTGCAGGTGCGCCCCCTGGTGAGAGAATGACAGTGGAAGATCAGCGAATGCGTTGCCACGCTACGTTCCGTTGGAGGGATTTCGCAAATGCGTGCATTGCCGCATCGCAGCTGAGTTTGCGGCGTCGACTTTCCGTGTTGCAATTTACAGCGTTCAAATTCTTGATCGCGATTCGCAGCATCGACTTCTGCTTTGAAACGCGCAGCATTCACATTCGTGACTGCAGTTGACGGCATCAACTTCTGCATTGCAATACAATGAATGCAATACAACGAATGACAACCCACGATTGCTATGACTGTTATACATGGTAGGGTTATAGTGCATGCAGGGAAAAAAATACAATTTATTTTTCGGGGGCTACTTTTCAAGCTCGCGTGGATAAAAATAGCACTCTAAAATTTGGTTTGCATTAAACTCTATGCAAATTTCCGGGGGCTCTTTTTGGCATTTCCGGGGCTCTTTTAGCCATTTCGGGAGCTAACTTGCCCCGAGCCCCGTGTATTTTTTTCACTGAGTGCATGCCGTATATCCACGTTTCTGCAATTGATCTTAAATATGTTGCGTGAGCAAAGCAGGGTTTACACTACCAACTTTATGTTGGCGAATTGGCGAATTGGACCAATTTCCCAACTATACAACCCACAATCGGCAGTGTAAACGCAAAAGTTGCACGACTAATCGATCGATAGCAACTAGTTGGGAGATTAGAACATGTTCTATTTTTGCCAACTCGGAGTTCTCGAAATTGGTCCAACTCGCCAATTCGCCAACATGAAGTCGGTAGTGTAAACACAGCTTTACAGTCACAACCAACAACAGGCAACATCCCGGGTTACGGAGAAGCAGAGGAGATATAATTGCGTGGGAATCAGAAATAACAATTCAATCACAATCACATCAACACAGAAGGAACACGTGTGCACAACGTCTTGCCAATTAAGCTTGATGCTTTTTGGTTCGTGTCTCTCACAATCATGTCTGTCCAACTAATTGGCTTTTACAGGTAATTCTTTAATTAACATGAAAGCTCCACTTCTAAACCTAGCTATCCTTCTAACGCACCATCCTAACAGAACTATTAGGCTATGAGACAGAATTATCTGATGTGGCAGCTCTCAGATCAAGTGAAAATTAGATTAGGTGGCGATAGCCCGCAATCAACACGCATTATAACAAGAGTAGATAATAAACATGTTTATTATCTACTCTTGATTATAACTAATTGGATAGTTGATGCAGTATAGAAATATGACAATAAGACCAGCAAATGTGTGACAGCCAGCACAGGTGACAGACGACATAGATGACAGGTAACACAGGTGACAGCCAGCATAAGTGACATCCAGCACATGTGACACGTAACATAGGTGACATCAGTGTAACATAGGTGACATCAGTGTAACATAGGTGACACGTAACATAGGTGACACATAACATAGGTGACAGGTATAACATAGATGACAGCCAGCATAGGTGACAGGTAACATAGATGGCAGGTAGCATAGATGACAACCAGCATAGGTGACAGGTAACATAGATGGCAGGTAGCATAGGTGACAGGTAACATAGATGGCAGGTAGCATAGATGACAGCCAGCACAGGTGACAGCCAGCATAGGTGACAGCCAGCATAGGTGACAGGTAACATCGATGACAACCAGCATAGATGACAGGTAACATAGGTGACAGACGACATAGATGACAGCCAGCATAAGTGACATCCATCACATGTGACAGGTAACATAGATGGCAGGTAGCATAGATGACAGCCAGCATAGGTGACAGGTAACATAGATGACAGGTAACACAGGTGAAAACAAGCATATGTGACAGGTAACATAAGTGACAGCCAGCACAGGTAACAGCCAGCATAGGTGACAGGTGACATCGATGACAGCCAGCATAAGTGACAAATAACATAGATGACAGCCAGCATAGGTGACAGCCAGGACAGGTGAAAACGAGCATAGGTGACAGCCAGTAGAAGTGACAGATAGCATGAGCCAGCAGCATATGTAAACACGCACTCAAGCAACAGAGCATGAAGCCATGTTGACCCGACGTCAAGACATTCACACGTTACCCACACATCCACGCCCTCACGCGCTCCACGGCTGCTGCTGCTGCTGCTGCTGCACGGGGCAACGACATGAATTCATCAATTAATTATATATTATCATAATTATTATTAAAACATTTAGTCAGTTGGCTTAGGTCCAGATTTGAGGATGGGGACATTCCGGATAAAAGCACCAAACTTTTTCCATGTACTATATCCACTGCCTTAGGTTTCCATTTTTGATAGGAGCCACTTCACCAAGATAGAGGAAGGCGGCCATCTTGGATTCCAAGATGGCCGCTATGTAAAAACCTATAACTGCCAATATCCGAGCTTCTAGGCCACCTAGGAGGGCAAACTTGGTGTCTAAACATACATTTTCTGGGGTGAGATTATCGATCGGCTGGGTGCAACCGATGATCAATGATGAAATTCCAACCGATTCCCATCACTAGTAACTACTCATGTTCACAGACGCTGCTACGCAGGCATCGTTACCTGAAGAGTGAGTTCTCTCCGGGGAGTGACGTCGGTGTGCCCGCCTGCCAGAGGGACGAACTCCGGGTTCGGATAGTAGTAGAACCGGCGAGAGATGGACTGCTCCGACGAGACAGTGTCCTGGACTCCGTCCATGATGAAATGAACCTAGAGAGACAGCAAGACATCACCATCAATCAGGCTTCGCCGTCTGAAAAAACCACGGGGCCTGAAAAAAAGGGGGAGGTGCTACCTATATGATGGGAGAGGGCTTAGCTATATGACTGAGGAGTACATACCTGCGCCTGAATGGGGCTGTCCTCGGTTGCTACCATGCCGGCACTGCCAATGTCGGGTGACTTGCACACCATCTGCGATCCATCGTAGTTGACACTGCATGGCTGTACAAACACACGACACTTAATGATTCCGTTGCCGAACGAAAATGCATGCCAAAAACACAGACACTCAACTCTCTCTCTCTCTCTCTCTCCTCTCCTCTCCTCTCCTCTCCTCTCCTCTCCTCTCC